GAAAAAAAGCTGATAGCACTATTTCACTTTGAAGGACTCCTTAAGCCAGACTGGCATCAGAGCAGACTGTGCATCGCGATGCCCCTAGCTGGACCCGATATAATGAAATCTTACAAATATTAGATTTGATATCATCTCATCCTTTCCCTATCCTTTCTCCCTTATCAGTAACTACTGGCCTCCTACCAAAGAAAATTTAGAAGCATATCAAGTGAAGCACAACATCACACGTCAAATCAGAAGTAATAGCAATTAGATTCGACTCTGAAGTAAGAGCTTCGACAGCATCGGCAATATATCGAGCTCGATCTCGTTGGAGGAAATGGCCGCTCTTCTCGAAATTTATCGACACCTGAAATAGCATCGACTCTGAATGAAGGCTCTTCGAATGACTTATAGACCACACTCATATTTTTTCAACAACGATCTCAAATTTTCGGAATGCACTCCAGAGTATGAAGCTAAGGGGTCGGCGCCGACCACTCAACTTGTCATGCGCCATGCATCCGGCCCTTACTGGTCAGAGATGTGTGAAAGTGCACTTTGCTTTGACAGTGTACACTTGCTGGATGGATACGATTTTGAATCGGTGGCTTTGCTTCTCTGGACAGATTTGGCATTCTTAGGGAGACTACAAATTGTGGAGGCGTGCTCAATCTGCTTGAAGCAACACCCCCAGCATGAGTCGTGTCGAAGCATCTATTCAGTGGGTGGGATAGAGTAACCCACGAGTAGCGCAGATGTGCCGTAGTCGCGGCTCGATCAGCATTAGGCGACTAATCTTAGCATTTGGACGAGTTACGTCGCGCACACCCCATGACACGCAACGTGGATTACGGCGTAGCGGCTAATTCAAATACGCGCGGGTTAGTTGAGCCGTGGAGCAGGCAAGTTCGTACAACTCGTCCGGCCCCGCCCCTTCCTTTTTCAGGGGAATTTTGTTTTGGCTTCATCGACGGTTTTCTTTGCTTCTTTTTCATTTTTAGTCAATTCGGCATCCACAACTTCATTATCAATCGCTGTGACCCCACAAATTTGATCTGGGGGCGTTGGGCCTGCCCCCAGATCAAATTTGTGCGCGTTTCGGCGCTTCCAGAATCACTTTTCAGTCTGTACAGCGATAAAATAATCTGCAACTCCAACAACAACAGTTCCAACAGAAAGAATGTCAACGTACCGCTTTGGCTCCATTTGAAAGCAATTCACGTGTTTGCCGCACGGCTTCCTCTTCAGAAATCTCATCGTTGTCCTTACAACGCTAAAAAAAGCAACAGTCTATCTGATACAATCGCAATGACAGCAAAGAGAGAGGGGGTCTGAGCAATGCAGCGCATTACTGCTCGCATGATCCCAAAGTGAACTATCGCAATAGCTCTTGCTAGGACAATCCATTATTTCGCCAAGGACAACTGGTACACTATTGGTCGATGATGAGAGGACAAAAACCCAGCCTTGACCGCAAGTTTTGTATGAATAGAAGTATTTATACGCCATTACTACTGTAATGTCCATAATGAAGAGGATGCGTGGCGCATCCTAAAATATCGATCAGGACTTGATGACTACCATTCATAAAGTGATTAGCTCATTCTGTAGAACAGCAACACCTCTTGATCGCAATAGCTATACTAGTTATTCACGATTCGTTTGCTTGAATCATCCCCAATCATACTGTGAATCCAGCAGGGTCCGCAAGTACATGTATTGAGCCGTTCCTACGGTGTTTGCAAAGTACGGGGCAATAGCGGTAGAGCCTTATTATGATCGCTTCGTTCGCTTTCATTTATGCATTCGCAACATGCGGGATGTCTATGCCTTCTCGAACGACGTGCTCTGTCGCGCGTTCTCTCTCCTTAACGCGCTATGCCCTTCCCCTACCACGGTCGACTACAAAAAGAGCGCCTTGATTTCAGTGATCTCACTTGCTTCCTTCACATTTTTTTTAATTCAGTACAAGCTATTTCTTTTTTCAGAGCTTTTGCTTCGCGGATCATTATTCACCTCAGCCTGGAATCAATTTAAGCACCAGCATGAGATGAGATGGTTTAGGCTATGGAAACCTTCGACAGCTTGGTCGAGATTGAGCCAGGATCAAGCGCTTATACGCACCATTCGTAGGAGGAGGTCGCATTTGCAATTTTGGAATGGGGGTCCCGTTTTGGGGTTGAGTAAAGGTTAACTACTTGAAGAAAGTTCGACGAGTCTGTCGAAAGTTTAATCGAAGACTTTTTTGAAGGCTATGAAAGTAGGGGGAGTATAATAATGGATTCACCGCTTCATGTTACCAGTGACCTTCCCCTCCCTGCCTCCCTCCCCCCCCCCCCCACTCGACGCCCCTTTCGGCGTTTTGGAAGCAAAAGTGGGCGCCGTTGGGCTGTGTCCGCCGGTCTCGGAATCAAATACTAACAGAAAAAAAGCAAAATCGTCAGCATCAATCAAACACAGCATGATGGTGGGTGGGGATCAGAGTAGGGGGAGGAGGGCCGTATGTGAGGAGCCTCCTGGGGCCGATAGCTGTTTGTGGTTGGGACTTGCGTCGACACCCCCTAGAGGGGAACGGTCGAAAAATTTTTGGGAAAGTGCAAATGCGACGGTTGACCCTGATTTGGACCCTGGAACTGTGACGCGGTGCCACGTTGGCACTATGCTATGTACGCCCATAGAGTAACCCATGGTAACGTAAAACAAGAAGCAACACTTCCACTCACCAGTTCTTTATGACCTTTGAACGAATTCGCGAGCTCTCGGGAAATACTCGTCTCAATGAGGAAATCCTTGCCAGAATACGCCATAAGCACGCGGGTCTACAATGAAAATTACTTGACGCACGTGCACAGCAGTAATTTGAGTACAACAATCACTTCACAACTTACATCGGGGCTTTGATTAATACAGTCTATATTAGGTTGTAAGCCTTTTGCGAGTTCAAGGTGAGACATCGTTCGAACACACATCATTGCCCGTTCACCAGAATCAAGTCGTAGACCAATGATATTGTTGTAAACTGAAATTATTTCAGAAAATAAGCTCAATAAAGCTCTATGGAAGATATCCACCGGCAGCCTATCTGTCAAACATTGTTTTTCCTCCCAGTAGAGTCCTTTTACCACAGAAAAGGATAGAGTATTCGGTGTTTATCAGTTCCTTTCTAAAAGTTTCTTTTCTTTCCTTTCTTCTTCTGCCATGCATCCTATTATATTTCCATTCCGAATGGTAGTGATGCTTGAACGCAATTCGGCTTATACAACCAATTGCGCGACCAGCGGATAAACTTATTATTTTTTGGTTCCCCGAGACTAATCCGTCCCCAATCAAGCGAATCAGTTCTTCTGCTGTGGCTGGATTCACTTGGATCCATAGCCAGGAAAATATTGCATCCACTTCTGAAATTTTGTAAGTTTCTCGATGTTTTTTTTACGTTTTTGTCGATAATGAGCGCATAAGTGGTGTAGAAGGAAGCACGGTCAATCGTCCGT